CAGTGGTTTTTGTCATACACTGAAATGAATTAGCCATGGATTTACATGATTGTCATAAAGTTGATTCATGTCAGACTAGCCGAATGACTTCAGGTATACTTGACTAAACAAAGCTGGCAGGGAGTTTATTTTGAATTAGTTCACAGATGTGAGACCTACCAATTAGAAAGAGCACAAAGCTCTGTGTTCTTTCAAATAATAAGGACACAGTGAAACTTCAGATGAGGCTGGGTGTGCTATGGCCTTACCTAAGAGAACAGACATCAAAGAGATGAGGCCATTCAGTCCTTATTTAAACGTCATATGCTTAAACTCACCTCAGGCCTTCCCTTCAGGTGTCTGTACCCCAGGTTCCTTTGAATCTGGTTTTAGATGCTGTTGACGGAGGCTGTCTAGCTTCTGCATATCTTCTGTCAGACCATTTCTAAGATCCTCATTGTTTCTTAGAAATTCTTTTACCACTTCCAGTTGGTTTAAGATCTGTATGAAGAAGCCATACAATGCACAGCTTAGCTAATTTTATAGCAGACTTGAAATTCAGATGAAAAACTTACTAGCTCCAAAACTGAGTCCTGCTCCTGTGTCTACCAATAGCTGGTTTTGGGACCACACAAGGGAATGTTTGCTTGTCTTCTTAAAAATTTTTGCTTTTAGGGGTTTATATCCAAAATACATAAAGAACTCATATGATTCAATAGCACAAAAACTACCCAAGTTAAAAATGGACAAAGGACCTGAACAGGCATTTTCCCAAAGAAAACCTACAAATGGCCAACAGGTACATGAAAAGGTGCTCAAGAGCATTAATCATCAGCGAAATCCAAGTTAAGACCACAATGAGGTTATCACCTCACACCTATTAGAATGGTCATCCTCAAAAAGAGATAACAGATGCTAGTGAAGGTGTGAAGAAAAGGGAACCATGAGCACTGTTGGTAGAAATGTAAATTGGTACAGCCACTTTGGAAAACAATATGGAGGATCTTCAAAAAATTTAAAAAGGAACTACTATATGATTTAGAAATTTGACCTCTGGGAACGTATCTGAAGAAAATGAAAACATCATGCTGAAGAGATATCTACATCTACATGTTAATAGCAGCATAATTCACAATAGCTAAGACAAGGAAACAATGTGAGTGTCCATAAACTTACAAATGGATAAAGAAGATGTGGTACATATACACAATGGAATATTATTTGGCCATAAAAAGACGGAAATACTATCATTTGAGACAACACGGATGGACCTGGAGGGCATTATGATAAGTTAAATAAGTCAAGCAGAGAGAGACAAATACTCCATGATCTCACTTATATGTGGAATCTAAAACAAAAACAAAAAAAATAAATTCTTATGAAAAGAGATCAGATTTGCAGTTACCAGAGGTGGGAATGGCTAAGTGAGTAAATCTTAACTGTTCTTACCACAAGGTAAAAACCATCTTTTTCCCTTTTTTTGGCATCTATATGAGATGACGTCATATAAATATAGGAAGTCCCCTAGAAAAAATTTTTAAAGATTTTTTTTTTTTACTGTAAAACTTCCTGAATAGGTATATACCTATGTGTGTGTGTTTACATATACATATATATACATATACACAAATATGATATATATGTATATTAAAAAAATGAAGCCCTTTCATTTTGAATTTTGTATCCACTTATTATAATTAAATATATACACACACATACATACAAGGGCTTCCCTGGTGGCTCAGTGGTAAAGAATCCACCTGTCAATGCAAGAGATGCACATACATACACATATATGTATGTACACACATATACAAATGTATACACAAATGCATATAAGTGTATACACTCACACATATACAGCTCTTTCAGTTTGAATTTTGTACACATGTATGACTATTAAAAATGTCTACATATGTACATTTATTACTATTCAGTATTTATAAAAATATACATACCTATTCACTAGTAGTAAATATACTGGTATAAAATTCAAAATGAACACAGGGTACAAGGTAAAAAGTTGGTTCTCTGTCACATCCTTTCCCTGGTCACTCAGTTCCTCTTAGAGGTGACCATAGTGTTCTTGTATCTCTTCCAGAGATACTCCATGCATTTACATATGAACACATGTATATATATGTGCACACATTTTTTAAATTCCAGTTTTATTGAGATATAATGGGCACATACACATTTTACAAAAACACAAATGGCAGCATATTAGATGTTATTCAACTGATTTTTTTTCTATATTGGAATATAAAGAGTGGCCTCATTTTTTTAATGTCTGAATAGTTTTTTAGTTATGGATGTTTCATATTTTAACATATTATTTCAAGCCTTCTGCTAAGAGAAATGCTGCTGTAGTAACTAACCTGGGACATGTGTCATTTTGCATAAAGTGACAGGTTATTTGTAGGATCTGCTTTTAGAAGCAGAATGGAGTTTTAATTAATAGTTTTCTGTTTTAATGTTAATAGATTTTGCCAAAACTGTCATCTCTAGAGGTTACAGCAATTTAAACTCCCATCAGTAACATACTTCTTGACATTTAAACTTAATAAAAGTGTGTACTCTCAGAATAGTACCACAGACATGTTTTCACTCAGCTTATCCCAGGATACCCTCAACTGGTCACTGTGCTTATTACAAAGAGGAAAGTTATTAACCTTTTGGGGTGTGGTGAATTTTTTTTTAAATGGGAAGGAAGGGAGGACGGGAAGGGACTTGTGGCCAGGATGAACAGGGAGCAAAGCTGAGGTCTTCAGGTAGGTTACTAAGTAGATGGGGATGTTCCCTTCAGCTGGAGCTGGGTTGGTTTTCTTTTTTTTTTTTTTTCCAATTCATTTTTATTTTTTGGCCATGCATATGTGATCTCAGTTCCCTGACCAGGGAACGAACTCGAGCCCCTGCAGTGGAAGCGCAGAGTCTTAACCACTGAACTACCAGGAAGTCCTAGCTGGAACTGTTTATTACATGGCTAGAAACAAGCCTACAGCCCCTGAAAGACTGTTGTTGCTGTTGTTGTTTAGTCGCTAAGTTGTGTCCAACTCTTCGTGACCCTATGGACTGTAGCCCACCAGGCTCCTCCGTCCATGGGATTTCCCAGGCAAGAATACTGGAGTGGGTTGCCATTTCCTCCTCCAGCATATCTTTCTGACCCAGGGATCAAACCTGCCTCTCCTGCTTGGCAGGTAGATTCTTTACCACTGAGTCACCTGGAAAGCCCTGCCTGAAAGATATGTGTGGTGCTTAGTCGCTCAGTCGTGTCTGACTCCTTGCGACCCCATGGACTGCAGCTGGGCAGGCTCCTCTGTCCTTGGGAATTCTCCACGGAAGAATACTGGAATGGGTTGACATGCCCTCCTCCAGGGCATCTTCCTGACTCAGGAATGGAATCAGGGTCTCCCACGTTGCAGGAGGATTCTTTACCAAATGAGCCACCAGGGAAGCCCCTTAAATAATAAATTTGGAAACCATAAAGATGTGCAATGAAGCTTATATCAATGACATTATTCATAGTGGACATTAGACACTGTGGGTACTGCACTGTTAGTGCTTATTGCCTGTGCCAGGCATTCTAGATGCAGCCCAGGGTCCTTCCCATTACGGCATTCCCATCAGATGCCTGAGACCATGCCAGCCTGGTCTGTGCACTAAGATGGACTGGGGTCCTCCCTCCCCAGAGACCTTCTCATTTGATGTCCTGAGAGCTATGATCCTTTGTGCTGTCACCTCCTGACCCTCTCTGCTCTTGAAATGTGCTTAAAAAGAGATGATTATTTTAGCGTGGGGGGAAGATAAAGAGTCAAAAGGAGTTTTTTTTTAATTATTAAGAATGGGGAAGTCTTGTGCACCTTAAGTGGGAAGAGGAAGTAAAGATGGAAAAACGAAGTCCTAGAAAAGTTATGGAATGCAGTTGGATAGACTTGGGTATTGAAACCCAGCTCTGTCACTTAACTAGCTGTGTGACTTTGGGCAAGACTTGACCTCTCTGAGCTTATTTCCATATACGCAAATATAGGATGACCATACATATGCCAACCAGGATTCTTGCAAAGGTTAGATATAATCTACTAAAAGCACATAGCACTACATCTGGTACATTCCTTCCTTCTGACAATCATTTAACAAAAGCATCATGAGAGTTAAAAGGATGACTCAGAAGCTGGAATGAAGACTGCCAAGGAGAATTATCAACAACCTCAGTTATGTAGATGATACCACTGTAATGGCAGAAAGCGAAGAGGAACTAAAGAGCCTCTTGATGAGTGTGAAAGAAGAGAGTGAAAAAGCTGGCTTAAAACTCAACATTGAAAAAACTAAGATCATGGATCCAGTCCCATCACTTCATGGCAAACGGATGGGGAAAAAGTGGAAGCAGTGACAGATCATATTTTCTTGGACTCCAAAATCACTGCGGACAGTGACTGTAGCCATGGAATTGAAAGATGCTTGCTCCTTGGAAGAAAAGCTATGACAAACCTAGACAGTGTTATTAAAAAGTGGAGATACCACTTTGCCAACAAAGATCCATACAGTCAAAGTTATGGTTTTTCCAGTAGTCATGTACGAAAGTGAGAAGTGGACCATAAAGAAGGCTCAATGCCAAAGAATTAATGCTTGTGAATTGTGCTGGAGTAGACTCTTGAAAGTCCCTTGGACTGCAAGGAGATCAAACCAGTCAATCCTAAAGGANGACTCTTGAAAGTCCCTTGGACTGCAAGGAGATCAAACCAGTCAATCCTAAAGGAAATCAATTCTGAATATTCATTAGAAGGACTGGTGTGGAAGCTGAAACTCCAATACTTTCGCCACCTGATGCGAAGAGCTGACTCATCGAAGAGGACCCTGATAGTGGGAAAGAATGAGGGCAGAAGAAGGGGGTGACAGAGGATGAGACAGTTGGATGGCATCACCGACTCAATGGACATGAATCTGAGCAAACTCCGGGAGATAGTGAAAGACAGGGAAGCCTGGCGTGCTGCAGTTCATGGGGTCGCAAAGAGTCGGATGTGACTGTGTGACTGAACAACAATTCTGAGTCTACTATGTGCCTGGTAGGCACTATTCTAGGCCAAAGACGGTTAGTAAGTACATCCATACTCTCAGCATTTAAGCCAAAACCCTTGCACTTGTCTTTGACGCCTTTCCTTCTCTCACACGCCATGTGTGCTCCCCCTTCTCATCGCCTCTACTCTTCACCCTTCCACCCTGGCCCGAACTACCACCTCTCTGACCAGGTAACTGTGGCAGCCTCCTAACATCTCCCTAGTTCCATCTTTGGTCCCCGGCCCCGCATTCTCTACATGGTGGCCAGTGTGCTCCTTTTATTGTTCTGCAGCGTTGCTGCCATCTCAGGAGGAAGAGCCTGGGTCCACCCAATGGCTCACAAGGCTTCCCTTCTATCTGCTCCTACCACACTCCCCCTACGCTGCTCATATCGCCCTGCCCTCGGCCTGAATGCTCCTCCTCCAGATGTGCCACCTGTCACAGCCCAACACCTGTCCCCATCTGGCCACTCCTGATCCCCACACTCTGCTCCCCACAGTACTTCTCCTCTTTCTAAATGCCTCATCATTACTTATTACATGGACCGTTTACAATCTGTCTCTCCCAAGGGGACCTTTGCTTTGTTCACTGATGCACGTCAAGCTTCTAGAACTGTGCCTGGGACACAGTCAGCACTCACTCATGAACTAAATCTGGACTTTAACGAATGGAGTGTCAATTACATCCTTTCCCCGCCTGCCTCGACTGCATTCGGTCGCTGTCCTTTCTCCCCAATCTTCCCTATGAAAGCGGTTCCCCCACCAGGGTTTAAAAAATCAGTAATGATTTTAAAGAATAGACACGTGGACACAGAGGGGTAAGGGGAGGGTGTGATGAATTAGGAGAGCAGGACTGACATATATACACTACCGCGTGTAAAACAGATGGCTAGTGGGAAGCTGCTATATAGCACATGGAGCTCAGCTTGGTGCTCTGTGATGACCCAGAGTGGTGGGAAGGGAGAGTGGGGGTGGGAGGGAGGCTCAAGAGGGACAGCAGATATATATACATAGAGCTGATTCATTTCCTTGCACGTTTTCTCATATTTTAACATCTCAAATGAGATTGCACTTTACCATTCATAGCACACGCTTGCGTGCTAAGTTGCTTCAGTTAGGTCCAACTCTTTTCAACCCTATGGACTACAGCTCTCTGGGCTCCTCTGTCCATGGGATTATCTAGGCAAGAATACTGGAGGGGGTTGCCATGGCCTCCTCCAGGGGTCTTCCTGACCCAGGGATCGAATCCGTGTCTCTATGTCTCCTGCATTGGCAGGTGGGTTCTTTACCACTAGCGCCACCTGGGAAGCCCACCATGTATCTTACAGTAAATGAGCAGCATTTTTTTTCTTTGAAAGTAACTGAATTAGTGATGTGTCCTGCAATTCACAGTGTTTTACAGTCACTGAAATTTGGTTTATCAAATCCTCTGACTTTGGAGACTAACCTGAAAGAACGTGAATAATCATACATGGTGCTAAAATTTCAAAAGAGGTCCGTTCCATGCATCGTGGACAGACAACCTACAGCTTCTGAGATAATGTGCCAATCAAGCCAAACTTACATTCTGATCAATTGAAATATCAAAAGAAATGCCACGGTCTACTGAACAGAAAGCATGAAAAATGAGAATTTATCACCCCTATCTAGAGACTTTGGGACCCAGAGGACAAGTCAATTAACCCCAATTTCCTCTCTGTGAAATGGAGATAATGAGGGGTCAAAATTTCTAATTGCTAGCTCCTCGATGACACGACAAGAGACAGGATAACCACTGCGTGGCATGTGTGAAGGCAGGCTCAGGGTCAGAGTGGGGAAACCCCTGGGCCAGCCCTCACGCCCCGGCCCTGAGGCCTCTCACCCCGCAGCACTTGCTCCTCAGAGTTGTGGTAAAGCAGCGGATTGCCAGGGTCCCTTCCCACTCTCAACTGGCAGAGACTCCTGGTTTCAGTGTATTGCTACTGATGCATTTTGCTCTTTGTTACACAAACAGGAAAAGAACTGCAGCTCCCTCAAGGAAGAAGACAGCATTTCTGATGACTTTGAGGTCCATGAGCCTGAGCCCCTGGTTTTCGTCTGTTGGCCGACTTTGGGGGTTAGTTCTAATGGCATTTTCAAATAAAGCCAGATGAAACAGGTGGATTTAGAAAATAGATTTAACAGTCTTATTCATCATCTTAAATACCTATTGTGTGCCATGGTGGGTGTGCCCCTAAACCAGAGGTATCCAGTCCCTATGCCAAAGGAGCCCATCAAGCTGAGTGAAACACCTGGGTCAAGGTCGGACGCCTTAACAAAGGTGCATGGACCAGTACAGAGCATGGCCTCAAAAAGGAAGTACACACTTTGTATTAAAACATGCTGTGTTTTATACGACAGCCTGGATGGGAGGGGAGTTTGGGGGACAATGCGTGCGTGCTGTCACTTTAGTCACACCTGACTCTTTGTGACCCCACTGACTGTAGCCCACCAGGCTCCTCTGTCCATGGGATTCTCCAGGCAAGAATACCGGAGTGGGTTGCCATGCCCTCCTCCAGGGGATCTTCCTGACCCAGGGATTGAACCTGCGTCTCTGTCTCCCGCATTGGCAGGCGGGATCTTTACCACTAGGGCCACCTGGGAAGCACCTGGGGGAGAACAGATACATGTGTATGTATGGCTGAGTCCCTTTGCTGTTCACCTGAAACTATCATAACATTGTTAATTGGCTATATTCCAACACAAAATAAACAAGTTTAAAAAAAGTAAAGTTCAAAATCAGACTATTAAAAAAATAAATAGAACATGTTATGTTTAATGAGGTAATCAGCAAAACTACTTTCCTTGGACAAGGTGGAATGGACAGATAAAATGACCTGTCCAAGATCTCCTGGGAATCTGGAATTCTAATCCAGCAGGCTATTTCTAAACCTTACAACAATATAATTCTATTATTGTTAATTTTTTTTAATACCTTGCCTGTAACAAAGGAGATTCCTAGCTCCTGTACTTGAGACTCTCATTAGCCTGCAGTGTCCAGAGCTAGAACCCTTGTTGATTCTTTAACCTTTGCCACCTCCTGCTGGGTCCAAGAAATCTCACTGGCAACTATAAGTCATCAGCTTTGCCCGGCAATGCCTCCAGAACTTGGCTCCTGCCTCCTGCACACTTCTAGCTTATGTCCTTTTTCTCTCATCCTCACACAACTGCAAGAGTCTCCTGGCTTGTCTTCAACCTCTGATTGCCCTAAGACTTCACTCTGCAAAAGCCATTATCTAATCTATTTCATTTACTCTCTCTTGCTTTAAAACCTCTGTTGGCTGCCAACTGCTTTGGGGGAATAAGGTCCAAACCTCTTAGTGCGGCACAGAAAACCTTTCAAAATGTGGCTCTGACTTGCCAGACCACCCTCACACCTGACCACACCTCCCTCCTACACTCGTCTCGTCACTGTCCGGCTCAGGCTAGTCTTTCACGTCTTGGCAAGTGCTGTTTCTTCTGCCAAGAACGCCCTTCTGCTCTTGCCAATTTTCCAAACTCTGATTTGATTCTTAGTACCAGTGACGGACAGGGACGCCTGGCTACAGTCCATGGGGCTGCGAACAGTCGGACACGACAGAGCAACTGAACCACCACCACCACCACCACCACCACAGCATCTCTCAGCAAAAGTGGTTTTGCAACCCCTTCTCCCCACCTTGACCTGGAGATACTCCCCAGAGCCTGAGGCTCAGGATTCCGTGGTCACCCTTCCTGTGGTTTTCCACTCAGTGGCACATACTAGGCACCCAAATGTTTGCTGACCAAGTGAAAATATTTAAGGGTACCAGTATTTTATGCCAAAAGAATATTCATGTCTGGAAATTATTTGACTTTTCAATCAGAAACGTAACTGGTGACAAGTTAAAATGAGCTACTCTTCCTTTCTGGGGCCTTTGCTTCGTTTACTCACACAGAGAATATAGTGCTTTTTAAAATTTTTTTTTTACCTCTTCAGGCAACACCTCTTGTTCTTTTACTTGAAGATAGAGCTCTTGAAGTTTTTCCTTTAGTAATTCCATTTCTATCTCGTTTACTTGGCTCTCACTCAGGTAAACTCCTGTGTCACACCCATCTCGCTGATCTTCCTCAGGGATGTAAACAGCCCAGTCAGATGTCAACAGCTGTTGGGTTACCAAACAAATAGATGAACTGAATGGAAAATATATTCCAAAAAAAAAAAAAGGATATTCCACTGGGTTACATAAAAGTGAAAGTGAAAGTCGCTCAGTCATGTCCAACTCTTTGTGACCCCATGGACTATACAGTCCATGGAATTCTCCAGGCCAGAATACTGGAGTGGGTAGCCGTTCTCTTCTCCAGGGATCTTCCCAACCCAGGAATCGAATCCAGGTCTCCTGCATTGCAGGAGGATTCTTTACCGTCTGAGCTACCAGGGAAGCCCAAGAACACTGGAGTGGGTAGCCTATCCCTTCTCCAGGGGATTTTCCTGACCTAGGAATCGAATCAGGGTCTGAATTGCAGGTGCATGCTTTACCAGCTGACCCTACCCGGAAAGAATTTATAATTAAACAATGTTGACTGGATCCATTCTAATATCATCCCGTGACCACAGAAAAGCTGCTCAGATGAATCACAGTTCTGACTTCATGTCAACATGGTGTTCTCTGCTTACATTCTAAAATTTTGTTTAAATCTAATAAGCTTTAAATTCTAAATAAGTGACTCTGAACTGTACTATATGATGATCTTTCACTTTTATCTAGCTTGTTTCACTTTTTCTATTTCATATTCAGTATTCCCATTTCATTTATATTTTCCAATTTCTCCATGTCTTTTTTTTTTATGTTCTTTCTCAAGCTTTGGTATACATATGTATAAATAATATGTATAATATATATATTTTAAGAAAACTTATGAATTTTTGCCTAACTAAAAAATTTATGACATTTTGATTCCACTTGTTTGACTTAGTATGAATAGAATGCTAGATTTCTAATTTAAAAAATAGATATGCAACAAGTAACAAAGGTCTACTGTATAGTACAGGGAACCACAGTCAATATCTTGCAATAACCTACAATGGAAAGTAATTTAAAAAATAATATACATATATATGTATAACTGAATCACCTTGCTGTGCACCTGAAACACTGTATGTCAACTATACTTCAATCAAATACATATATTAAGAAAAATAAATAAATAAGTGACTGTGGTTCCTTTTACCTCCCCTTAGTTCTTTATGCCAGAAATGCTAAATGTAATTTTTACCTGTTCTATTTGGGAGTATACCGCCACAATCTCCGGGATATTCTTGAATTCATTTAGAAAATTTTGGATCTTCATCTGAAAATCTCGTAGCCATACAGAAGATACTTTCATCTCTGAAGAGTGCATGATATCGTTACGACACTTAATCACCTACAGAAAGACAAAAAAAAGAGAGAAAAATCTTCAAAATCCAACAGTGGGGTACACTGAGATTTTGGAGCTCCAGAGAAAAATCACAGAAAGGCCTTGTTCATTCTAAAATCCATAAGTGTGTGGCCTGCAGGTGTTGCCAAGGCTTATTCAACCCCCTGCCATTTGAAGACTAAATCAAGGTAAGAAATATAAACAAGCGTACAACTGTCCCAGTCCTTGAGCTCTTGGGTGAATCTCTCTTACACAATCCTCCAAACGCCCTAACTTAAAAACACTATAAAATTGTAAAGTAATTAGCCTCCAACTAATAAAAATAAATGGAAAAAAAAAACCTGCCAGGGTTTCTGTAGTGGTTCTGTGGTTAAGAATGAGCCTTGCAATGCAGGGGACACTGGTTCCATCCCTGGTCTGGGAAGATCCCACATGCCTCCATGGGGATGGGCGTGGGCAGCTGAGCCCATCCCCTACAACTACTGACCCTGCATTCTGGATCCCGCAAGCTGAACCCATGCACCACAACTACTGAAGCCCCAGAGCCCACACTCCACAATGAGAGGCCACCACAATGAGAAGCCCGCACACTGTAACTAGAGAGGAGCCCCTGCTTGCTGCAACGAGAGAAAAGCCCACACAGCAACGAAAGCCCAGCAGAGCCAAAAATAAATACATATTTTTTTTAAAAAACCTGCCAAAGAGCAAGAGTATTGGCTACTGGCTCTGAGAATACCCAAAGGCTGAAGCAGACAATGCAAAAATCTTTTAATATTAATATATAATTCCTGCCCAGTCTTCCACATTCTTGATGAAAAGCTATCAAAGGAGTCAGTTTTGTATTGTGATAGTTTTTGTCTTTGCTGATGGTAAAGGACTCTCAGTCCCTTTGGCTGCTGGCATGCTAGCAAAATATACATGCGTTTCTGCACATATTATGAATAATCTGTGTGTGCCATATATACTTTTTAATGATCCTCAGAGTAACAAACGCACCAGAGCTGTCCTCTGGTGAAACAGAGACAGCTGAAATCTCCCAGAGGATGTCTGACAAGCACAGTGATCTGTTCTGACACTGTTTATCCACTAATGTTTATGTTTTCTTTAGGTCAAGGTAACTTGGTCTTGGGGCTTCCCTGGTGGCTCAGAGGTTAAAGCGTCTGCCTGCAATGTGGGAGACCTGGGTTTGATTCCTGGGTCGGGAAGATCCCCTGGAGAAGGAAATGGCAACCCACTCCAGTATTCTTGCCTGGAGAATCCCATGAACGGAGGAGCCTGGTGGGTCCACGGGGTCGCAGAGAGTCGGATACGACTGAGCGACTTCACTTTACTTCAGCTTGGTCTTGCAACTGTTCACACTTCCCTGGTGGCTCAGATGGTAAAAAACCTGCCTGCAATTTGGGAGACCCAGGTTCAATCCCTGGGTTGGGAAGATCCCCTGGAGAAGGTAATGGCTATCCACTCCAGTATTGCCTGGGAAATTCCATGGACAGAGGAGCCTGGAGGGCTATAGTCCATAGGGTCGCAAAGAGTCAGACAGGACTGAATGACTAACACTTTCACTTTCAACTTGGTCTTGCAACTGTTAGCCAGTGAGATTGAGAAGGGCAGGACTCAGATGCTGGCATCCAATGGAGAGAATGATGCATTGCTCTCTATTTGTTTCTTCAATATGGAAAATTACTTTGCCTCAGTTTATGACAGAACAGGGAGAAGAAATTTGAGGTTTGCCAGTTTAGCAACACACAGTACAACAGCAAGTTGTTGTTTAACAACTTGGGAAAGTTCAATCAGGGAGAGCTGAAGGGACAGTCCCCTGCCTGCTTTCACACAGGGGTTTCGGACATCACAGCAGGCACATGTGACGTGAGTGCTGCTCACCTGCTCAGCGATGCCAACAGTGGACCTAAGTCTAACTTCTCTGTGCACCACTGTCTGGGGAAAGGACTGTGAGCTCCACCCATGTGGCTGCTTTAGCAACACAGGGTGTGGTTCCTGCTTGGCAACATCTGCTTGGCAATCTGAGGGTTCTTACCTCTGTGACTTTTCTTCGATCAACCACGAAGTGATCACAGGAGTTGATGAGATTCAGAAGAGCAACCGCGTCACATTCCTCGGGTCCTGTTTTGTCTGCCTGTCCTCGGGGCATGAAGGCCTGCAGCAGGGGAGGCCCAAGAGGCTCATGAGTCTCCTCCAAGCCAAACAGACATCTATCTACACGGGGCTAGTGGGACAAAACTGTTATCTGCCTGTTCCCCCAAGGACGACTGAAACTCTCTTGTTGAGTTTAAATTAGAGCCCCATGAGTCCAAAATGCAAGTCGGGAAACAGTGTGGCAGCCAAGCCTCAGCCCAGGGCAGTAACTGAAGAGCTGCTTTATCTGTCCACCTGCTAGTAGAGACACTTCCACACCTGACCTAACTGTCCTTTCTTAATGGCATATAAGCAGGAGGCAGGGGTAGCAAACAGGCTTCCCCGGTGGCTCAGTGGTAAAAGAATCTGCCTACAAAGCAGGAGACTGGGGTTCGAACCCTGGGTTGGGAGGATTCCCCTGGAAAAGAGAACGGTTACCCACTCCAGTGTTCTCGCCTGGAGAATTCCCAAGGACAGAAGAGCCTAGCGGGCTACAGCCCACAGGGGGGTGCAAAGGGTCAGACAGGACTGAGCACGCCAAGAAAGAAAGGGGGTAGAAAGCAGCCTTTTTTTCCCCCTTAAGTTTCAGTGGCTTAATTGTAAAGATGATTTCAAACTAATAGTTGCTCCAAAGTGAAAGTTCAGTATAGTGGTAGAATGTGAAGAGTTTGGGCTTTGGAATGTGACAGAGCTGGGCTGCAAAACCCTCTTCGGCCACCTGTCAACTGCGTGACCTTGGGCTAGTTATATATCCTCAGATCCCTCATCAGTAAACGGGGGATAACTGTCCTCATCTACCTTGAAGGATGTTTCGAGAATTAAATGAGTCAATGTGGGTAAAGCACTTGCATGGTGCCCGGCACATGAGAATACACAGGCCACACATGTTGGTATTTATGATGCTGATGGTGCAAGGTGAGTAGAACCTACACAGGCATTACAGATGGAGTCCCAGGGTGTGAGATACTAGATACAACAGAACGGCCTCATTCTAGCACGATCTTGCCTTTGGTAGGATTTTATGGTGTGGACCTCCAAAATGGTGTTTTAACAAGGCTTGGGTATATTTCTTTCCTGAAATATTTCCAAATTTATGATGAATGCACCAACTTTACCAAGCCACGAAGCTCAAGAGTACATTCCTGCTAAGGGACTAAAAGTGATGACATGTGAAAAATGACGCGCAAAAAGAACTCTAAATAAAGAGACCTGCTCCCTTGACTACAAACACGTTTCTGGAGGCAGGCAACCAGCCACTTCCTGTGGTGCTGCCTGGGGTACTATTTTGAGAAAGGCACGTGGCAGGGGCCAACGCCCTGCAAGGAGAGTCAGGGCTCTGCTTCTGATAGTGGTTGAATGACACACCCTGGCCTCACATGACTGAGAATTTGTATACTGTACACTACCTGAAAGTCAAACTGCAAAAAAAAAAAGAAAAGAAAGTCAAACTGTTAGTTACTCAGTTGTGTCTGACTCTGCGACCCCCTGGACTGTAATGGACTATAGCCCTCTAGGCTCCTCTGTCCATGAAAGTCTCCAGAATATCTTTCCGACCCAGGGAACGAACTCATGTCTCCCACATCTCCTGCACTGCAGGTGGATTCTTTACCATCTTAGCCACTAGGGAAGCCCCCGTTACTGTCTCTATCTTAACATGTCCCAACCCACGGAAAGAAGTTGATTATGGATGCTGCAAATGTTAAACAAAAACTAAACTAATGTATCACAGGTCAATTAATTTGAAGAAATGATGAAATGGAGAGGAAACAAAGAAAAGAAATGTGGCTGAGAGGGCCATCCAAAGTGAGAGGGGCCTTAGTTGACTCAAAACCAGGCAGTTTCTCTTGCCCCTTACAAGGTATGTCCAGTCTGGCATTTTCTCACCAAAGGAAACCTGTCTCTCCACATGAAGGTTTTATTCTAGTACTTCTTCCGTTCTTCAGAACCAGAAGCCAATGAGGAGGCTCCCCTGCCTCCTTGCTGCTGACATCTGTTTCTTAAAATGGCATCGACCACTGCTGCCTTCCAAATGAGACAGGCACAGGGTGAGAAACACACCTGATTGCCTCTCACTATCCACTCCTGAAGGGCTTCCCAGGTAGCACACTGCTAAAGAACCTGCCTGCCAATGCGGGAGACATAAGAGACCTGGGTTCGATCCCTGGGTTGGGAAGATCCCCCAGAGGAGGGCATGGCAACCCACTCCAATATTCTTGCCTAGAGAATCCCATGGACAGAGGAGCCTGGTGGGCTACAGTCCATGGGTTCGTAAAGAGTCAGACATGATTTAGCATGCATGCATGGACCCCCTTCTGTCTCTTCACTGAGTAGTAGGAGAAGAGGTTGGAGAAATACACAGGGGCCAGAACATGCTGGGCCTTACTGGCCTTGACATGGAGTCTGGAGTTTATTCTAAGTACATCAGGAAGCCATCCAAGGATTTGGGGCAAGGGAAGAAAGTGATCTAATTCCCACATGAAGACTGCACATCCTCCATCAAGGGTGAGCAGAACAGCAGAGGCAGCCAGGTGGGAGGCTGGCAGGAGAAAGGGTTGAGAGCCGTGACCTAGAGAGGGTGAGGAGGAGTCCAAAAAGAATCTGCAAGTACAAATAAGAGGGGGAGGCGTGGGGGGGGGAAGAGATGAGGCAAGAATGATTGTAGGTGGTTGGTGGTGGGGCATGGGGACAGCCTGGGAAGGGGAGATGAAGAGTCCAGCTTGAGAAGACAAGTGCCCAGGAAGTGAGGAAGTGAAAGCGTCATGTAGCAGAGATGGGCTTCCGGAGCACAGAAGAGGGCACAGAGCTGTTCTGTCAGCAGCAATGTAGTATTTAATATCTCACTCCATGGGCCTGAGCAATATCCACCAGGGGAGGAGAAGCAGGGGACAGAAGAGGTCCAAGGAAGGCCAACCGACATTCAGAAGAAGCCTGAGGAGGAGGAGTTGGGGGGACAGGAGGATACCTGGAGAGGAATATGTCTCAAGGCCGTGACTGTTTCAAGAAGAGGAGTGGCTGGCGGCGTGGCAGTGCTGAATGTCTGAGAGGTCGGAAGGATGAGGCTGGAGAACTGAAGGTCTTGTGTGCCCCTGATAAGACAGATGCAGTGGAGGGGCAGGGGCGGCGGAAGCCAGGGGGTGGTGGGTTGAAGAGTTAATGGGACTGGGGGAAAAGAGAATTAGGCATAATGCACTTTTTGAGAAGTTCTACTGGGAATACATACGGGAGGCAGTTAGAGAAATGGGGAGACAGCAGGAGGGAATGGATAAGGGGAGCTTTCATTTCTTTCTACAGTTTATTTTCCAAGTGTTTATTCAATTTTTTAAAAAAAAAACAGCTTTACTAAGATGTAATTCATATACTATATAATTCACCCATTTAAAAGTATACAGCTTTTTGCAATGGCATGGATGGACTGTGAGGGCATTATGCTAAATGAAATGTCACAGAAAGACAAATACCATATGATCTCACTTATATCTGGAACCTAAAATAAACCCCCAAACCCAAGCTCACTGATGCAGAGAAGAGACTGGTGGTTGCCAGAGGTGGGGGAGGGTGGAGGAAGGGGGCAAAATGGGTTAAGCAACAGTTACCAACTTCCAGTCTTAAAATAAGTAAGTCCTGGGGATGTAGTATTTGAAAGTTGCTAAGACAGTAGGTCTTAAAAGTTTGCATCAGAAGAAAAAAAAAGACTGTAACCATATATGGTAATGGATGTTAACTAGACTTATGATAACCATTTAACAAAACATATATCAAATCATTATGTTGTATGCTTGAAACTAACTACACCTCATTAAAAAAAATTAAACATTTACAGTTCATTGGTTTTTAGTATATTCAAAGTTGTGCAACCATTGCCACAGTCGATTTTAGGACATTTTCATCACCCCCCAAAAGAAACCCTCTACCCATTAACTATTGCCCCCTCTTCTCCTCCAGGCCCTAGCAACACCAGTCTACTGTCTGCCTCTATAGATTTGCCTATTCTGGACATTGTATATAAATGGAATCATACACTATATGACTGGCTTCTTCCATTTAGCATGTTTTCAAGGTTCAAGAAATGATATAGCATGTATCAGTACTTCATTCCACCCCCATTAGTATCTTGATGTTACAAATACTTAATTTCTTTTTATGGCTAAATAATATTCCATTGTCTGGACAGACCACATTTCGCTTACCCATTCATCAGTTGATGGACATTTGTGTTGTTTCAAACTCTTGGCTGATGTGTATAGTACTACTTCTGTGAATATCTGTGCACAGGTTTTTGGGCAGCTGTATGTTTCAATTTCACTGGGTACATATCTAAGAATGGCACTGCTAAGTCATATAGTAACTCTACATTTAGTCTCTTTTCTTTTAAAAAACTGAATAAACCAAGGCAATACTAAGACTATTGGTACAGTGATGGGAGTAAGCTGGCAGGTCAGAAGAGTAGATAACTGGAGACTTAAAGTCCTTGGGCAGGTGGGAGGGGATAAGGTCCAACACTCAAGTGGAGGGACAGGGCGGTAAGAGGAGAGATGCCCTTCCTCCTCTGGAGCAGAAGGAAGAAGATGGTGCACATGGAGGTAGGTTGGTAAAAGTCTGGTAAAAAGACGAGGAAGCACATATCTGCGGCTATCCGTGAACTCCAGGAAGTGGGAGCAAGATTAGAAGCTGGGATCGAGGGTGGAGGGAAAGGCAGTAACAGTTGTCTCCAGGAAACAGCAGCCTATGGAGAGACAGAGCCCAGACGAGGTGATTAAGAACTGAAAGTGAAATTGATCAGCTCCCTCTGAGCTGAAGTACATGATGCTGTCAGGAAGGCTGGAGTTGGGGCCTGGCCAGTGCAGAGAAAGGATAATAAAGGCCGAGAAAACTGCAAAGGACTAAACAGAATGATGGACCATGGAATCTGGGCTAGCCGAGGAGACAAAGGACATGGGGAGGGCTAAGGCTGCTGGGGACTGGGAAAGCAGGGGAAACCTCAGAGTTGTGAACATTGTATAGGGACAAGGGGCTAAGCCTGGGGCGGGAGATGTTAACAAGTGTGCTAAGAGTAAGGAGGCTGCTGGACACCACAGCTCCCTGGCTGACATGGCCCCAGATGTGAGCCTGGGAGTGGGAGGCTGAGGTGGATGAAATCGGAGGATGCTCAAGTGGGGAGTCCAGAAACTGAGAAGATGGGCTTGGAAAGGTAACTAAGAATATGCGGTTGGACTAAGTCTGCGGGTGACAGCAATGATGAGGGGAAAGAGTGGCAGAAACAGGTGGTAAGGGCTTCAAGTGGATTCTGAGGGCATGAAAGCAACAGTTGAGGGACCTTCACTCTACACCAGTAAAGGGTAGAGTTTTAAGTCTTCTTCTCTAGGTAAAAGTAGAAGCTGGCAAGTCTATGGCAGCAACAAAAAAAGAGAGAGGAAGAGGGTGCGACTGCTCCATGATAGCCAAAAGTCTGGGGGTCACCGATATAGTCCAATTTCCTCATTTTTGAGGTCAGGGAACAGAGGCTGGCCCAGGGCTACACCGCAGCAACTGAGTGGGGCTTCTGATTCCGGCTTCCCAGGCACCTCCAAAGGTGAATGCAGGTTCGGAGGTGACTTCGACAGGCCCCTCCCACCCCTTACTGGGCTTCTGGCAAATACCAAAAAGTCAAAAAAATTCCTCCATCTGCCCAGCTAGTGAGTCACAGCGCCAAGGCCTGAAAACAGGCCTAATAACCACCCCCCCTTCTATCTTGCTGCTTACCCCACCCCGCCTCCCCAAAGTTTTATGCCTTAGCTGCGCACTTACGGTCCTTTCTATCTTTGCCCCAACTTTCTTTGCCTTATTCTGCCATCTTCATGGCACCCTACAAACAAAACGAGCCGTTCAGGAAGTCCACTCTCATAAACGCCTTGCCTGCTCTTCCCTCTGTGCCGAGGATACTCGCTCCACACCTTGCCCCAGCCACACCTGTTGAAATCTTCTACTTCACCAAGCTACGCTGGGTCCGATATAACAGCCCTGAACCATCTAGACACTAGATCAAAAACCCACTCTCTCTCTGTCTGAATCCGCTGGTGAGGCTTCAGCGCCCGTGGAGACCGGACAGAAGCCCCGGACTCCAGGTAACGCCTACCTGGCAGGCCAACTCCTCCTACTCTCCCGACCGCAGGTGCTTACCTTGGCCACCTCCCAGGCGTCGACCGGCCAGAGGGCCGGGCGGCAGTTTCCCCAGTGGACGTCTCCATTTCTGTTGGTGTGATGTTTCAAAATCTCCCGTTTCCACTCTGCGCACACCTGACACTGAGGCTGAAACTACAGGGGGCGGCGGTGAGGAGGGGCCCGGGAGGGAGGGGCGGCTCCGGGCTTCGGAGCCTCGGCTAACGCGGTCGGTTCGGCTCCGGGGAGGGCACGAGACACTGCGCCCGGGGAAGGGGACGGGGTGAGGGGCGACGGTCAAGGTCACGGGCCAGGTGCTCACCTGGCGGGCGCGAGGGCTGCACCGCCAGCCGCCGCTGCAGGCGGCGCGGGGGCCCAGGCCGGGGGCGGCGGCGAGCAGCCTGCTGTGGAAGGCGAGCACCTCGCGGCCGACGAAGCCCTGCAAACAGCCGCGCAGCAGCAACAGACAGTGGCCCGCCTTCACCCAGTTCTTATACTCGGCGCAGTTGAGGCGCACGGCCAGCTCAGAGAGCACCATGTCCAGACCTGGCCGGCGCGGCCAACAGCTGAGGGGCGGGGCGGACTGCCGTGCGCAGGCGCAGAAGCCTGGGAGCGCCGGAGGCGACAGGGGAGCCTTGGGCGTGGCCCCGCCCCCTTCCCGTGACTGGGTGACCTAGTTTCCGGGGCAAGTCGGCCCCACCCCAGTCTTATAAGACCCCGGACACGTAAGTTCTTTGTCTGGTGCTTGCCCACAAAGCTTCCACGTAAAACTGTCTCCCTCTTCTCTGCTCCCCAAAACTGAAACCTCACCAGGCCCGATTTTAGCTCCCCCTCCTTGGGCCTGTGCTCCAGTTCTCTTACTGTAAAGGTGTAGATGGTGCGGGGGCTTCCCTAGTGGCTCAGACGGTAAAGCGTCTGCCTGCAATGTGGGAGACCTGGGTTCGATCCCTGGGTTGGGAAGATCCCCTGGAGAAGGAAATGGCAACCCACTCCAGTACTCTTGCCTGAAAAATCCCATGGACGGAGCAGCCTGGTAGGCTACAGTCCATGGAGTTGCAAAAAGTCGGGCTCGACTGAGACTTCACTTTCACTTTCTAGACAGTGCTTAAGGCCCAGTTCTTGGATTACATATGTTCCTTGCATTATATAGTTCTAGAAAGTTTACTTAACTGTATCCTAAACCTGCAGATTGACTGTAGCATATCTGGACATTAGTATGACTGTAGCATATCTGGACATTAGTTAAACTTGACCGCTGGCTGTCTGGACCGTGCACTTGTTATGTGCCTGCTGTGTGCCAAGGTGACACGAAGCTCAAAAACTTCTGCCATTGGGCCACCTAGCAGAGGCAAACAGGACACCACATCACCTGGATTCTGGAGGGCTGCATCGTCCCGAGTGGGATGAGGAACTTCTTCCACTATGGTTCTGAAGCATCGTTCTGAGATTATGATTTTGGTTATATGATAGCTGGAGCTCCTTGCATAGGGTAAGCTAAGTTCCAAATCAGTGCTGTAAAGGTCAGAAGGCAGTGGCTTGTCAACTCTAAATGACATGAAGTCATTTCAATTTTAGTTACTTTTAGTGAGCTTCTTGAGCTTGGAAGACATGTTAAAATTGCATGTAGTCAAAAGGCTCTGAGGGAAGAGTCTAAACGTTTGAAGTCTTCCCCTGACTTTGTTTCACAGAAGCGTGGTAGTGTTTAGGAGTGCTAGCTTTGACTCAAAATGCTGCTTCTTAGCTGTTTGATCTTAAGCAATGTTGATTTGATCTCAGCAAATTACTTCATTTCTCTGGACCTCAGTTTACTCAGCAGAAAAAGGAGGCCTACCCTGTTGGGTGGTTGTGACAAGTAAGAGACTCAAATAGTTAGAATAGTGCCTGGAAATAGTAAGCTCTCAGTAAATATTATTATTTTATATTGACCTAAATGTGCCCTTTCAGTCAGTCATTCCTGGGCAAGATATTTTAACAATTCACTGGCTACCTGAAAATGGAGGCAATTTATAGAAAACTGTGAGCAGATCAGTCTCCTGGAATTATGCAGCACACAATGCTGGCTAGCCTCTAATTTTTCCTTAAAAACCTCAATATTAAATCCATCCCTAGTAAATTTCAAAACATTTCCTTAGACAGTGTCCATTCCCATTAAACCAAAGGAAGAAGGAAATTCCACAGGATACAATGAAATATACATTAATGTTTCTCCTTTCTGTTCCTTAAATTACCTGAATATAAGTTCACTTGTAGTTTCCTGTGTATGATTTTATATCAGGAACACTTTGATGATAGTAAATGACTAAAGTAAAATGTAATAGGTATTTCTTCTGGGGAAGAAACCATGAAAGGAATTTCTTTTTTATGTTGAAATTGGATACAAATTTATAGTGGCAAAGTTTTATTTCTTGAAGTTATCAAATCAACCATGATCCAAAAAAATGACTAACAAACCATTTAGTATCCTTGCTTTACAGGTTACTGTGTTAACTGCAACATAGTAAAGTTATTAGTGGAATTTAAATTCAAAATCATGTATATTTTAGTTTATGCCTGCACTTAGCTCACTCATTGTTAATTTTCAAACAAAAGGTTCAGCTCTTGCTGTTAATAACTTGGTATGTTCTGGTAAAGTTTTCGCTTTCTTCGTAATTCTGAAAATACTTACACATTCTGAAATGGCATTTCAGCAGATGGAAAAAAGATGGGGCAAATCAGGACCAATTTCTTCAAGGTTAAACCAGACTATTCGCCAAAACATCTTCATGAAAATTAACTAGAGAGTTGTTAGTTCTCTGAAACGTGTATAAATTTCATTTATTACTGAAATTACTATAATCACATTGAAACACACTAAAAATCCAAACCATCAATTAGGAAAAACTCCTATGGGTATCCAGTCCCTTTGATTGAACTTGGTTAACAAAAGAGTTGTAAAAGACATAGCTTGTGATAAAACTTAAGATCCAAATGCTAGGCATTTTCCAGCTGTAATAAAGTATGTACCAATTCCAAGTATCAAGTATGATAGCAAAATTCTAATTCATGGATTTACTTTTAATAAGCATCAAAACCAAATTCTGTTCACTGAATCCTATCTTACTTTTGATTTGTACAATGCATTCAGAGATGAGTTATTAATAAGCAAAAAAGTATTCACTGAATGCATCATGTTAAAAATGCAATTAATATTTCAAAACCACCCTTAAAAGGGAAACTCTATTAATAAAATTATTTGAGACAATATTATCCTGCAGATAAAAATACATTTCTTGTATACACATGTATATTTCTACATGAAAGAAAGGATTCAACTCCAAATAGAAAAGGGCTGACCCTGGATAAAATCTCAGACTGCCAAACTGACGTGATTACCATTGTAAGTTGAACCAAATATAGAAGGATAAAAGCTAAGTTATGGGAAAGATACAAGTTTAGTCACCTGCTTCCACAAAGTGGCAGAGTTGGGGGTGAGAAGCAAGAAATGAAGGCAGAAATAAGACATAGAAGAAAAGGCAAAGAAGGCCTCAACTCTGACCAGAAATGAATAGAGTCAAGCAAAGCTGAGGACAGATACAACTGCAATGAGATGCCTGAAACTAGAATTTGGTAATTGACAGTCACAGAAGCTCAATTAAATCATCTTAAAGTAGAATTAGACAAAGCATCTAAAATTTCATGGAAAACCAGTAGTACAGTGACCAGACAACTCAGCATGGTATTACCATTTAAGAAACTTTCCCAAATAACATCAAATCTTCAGAAGACCTTTGCTTTGGATCATTCTCTTTGAAGCTTAAAAAAGTTCTCGACTGACTGGGAGAGGCAGCACATTGCTCCAAAGAAACTGCTGAGATGGGTCAGTAACAGAACCTCCATTTGACCCAGGACAGGCCCTGGGTCTTGGATTCTTCAAGCTGAGTGGACTGTACCAGGTTTCTTCCAAGTAAAACATTTTCTCATTTTGTTGACAATAAATTAAATTGGGATTGTTTAGAACCACCCCAGTTTTGGTGAGGAAGGCAAGGGGAAGAAGTTACTCAAGATAAAGAAACGTCACAGAAATTTCATGCAAGGGTCCAGCATTCAAGTTCTTGGTTTCCTAATGAATGCTGTGTGCAGAAGTATCCTGTAAACTACATTTGCCTAACAGAAAAGTTCCCACATCCTCAGCAGAGAATGACTGCATTATTTTGAATCTTTGATCAATATGAACTACTCACTATCTCTTCTCAAAGACTGAGTTCTTTTTTTTTAATCCAACTCCTACACTGAAAGACAACCAAGGTGCTAAATGTTAACCATCAGTCAAGTTAGGAATGTCTGAAGAAAATAAATTAATCTTGAAACAAGCAGATGTTTTGGTCAAATTTCAGACATATATTATTAGAAATTACTTACTGGCCCCACAAGGTTAAAGATAAAGGGAGGCCGAGAAGTCTACAGAGCTGATATACACACAAGTGAGTGTCACTGTTTTTGTGTCTTTTTTTTTAAACCTAGTTTTATTAAATATTGCTTCTTTGGGGTGTGTTTATAACAACTCCCAGAACATTTTCATGTAAGGATTCAAAGCGGTCATATTAAAATACAGCTTCAATATAAAGTTCATCACAGTTTTACAGTATTCAAAAATGACAGACCTGCCTTAAAAAACAAAACAAAAACCAAAAAATGACTATTACACCCAAAACATAAGAAAACACTTAAATAAACAAGTTTGGCATTTCCGTAACTTTATAGTATAAAACAGAATATTAAATCTATTACTGGCAAACGGACACTGATGTATTACCTAGTTTGAAATGTGTCCCATTTAAACACACTATACAAGTTAGCTATACAAAAGATTGATGGTCTTTTTGATGAAAGAAGTGCACCCTGAAAATTTTTGCCAGTTTAGAATATTTAGCTCTTAAAGTCAAAAAAGTCCTTTTTTTCTTTTTTAAACTGAAGGCTGAATTCAGATTTTTTTTTGTTGTTTTGTTTCTTTTTCAGCCTTCCTGGTTTAAAAACAATAGTGTCTATGGACGCCCACCAGGGGGCAGTGTAAGATTAGCCATTAAATCACGAACAGCTGCAAATATTGTGCATTCACCTGCAACAGAGAAAAATGGTCATTAGCTATTCGCAATACAGGAAAGATGATAACACACTGGTGGGGTAGGGGTAGTTAAATCTAAAATTAGTAAGAACTTTAAAGATCAAAACGAAAGACTAAATTTTAACTGCACAGCTTATAGGGGATTAAGCTTTGGTGTTAGGTATTTATTAGATGATACCTGGTTTGGGTTTTTTCATCATGAAGACATTTTGGGCAACTCCCAGTTAGATGTGAATTTAAGTTAATATGCCTAGAGTTTCTCTACAGAAACACTGGAGCATTGGATAAGCCTCTGAAGCTGGACTTCAAGGCTACTGATGACCTGTTCTTGAATCTAACGAAAGATCTAGTTTTATATTTATGCATTAGTTACAACATCAATGACATCCTTCTGCTGTTACATTAAAGGCCAGGTAACTCCTGTGATAGCACTGTCTTAACAGAATCTTCTGTGATGACAGAAATATTCTCTATGTG